CAGTGAGCGGTGAGGATGGAGGAGGGCAGCAGACTGGCACAGAGCTGTGCTGTGTGATCAGGAGGAAAGGTTGTATGAGGCAGGTTGGTTACACAGAACAAAGTAGTTTCCTTCAAATTTAGTTCCATTCCTACCTTTCCCCCCTTAATTTCATTAAAGTCTATGGGAAGGAAGCTCCTTTGAAAGACTTAAAATAAATCATGACAGTGGGGGTTTTTTGAACTATAGTTTACGTTACCCTGTCTAAGTCTGACTATTAGGAAATGTCTCAGCCCTCTGCAATAAACACAGTCCTTACTTTGCTGCTGTGTGTGACAATGGGATGGTGCAATGAATAGACAAGTATTTCTGAGTCATTGAACTAGTTAGTTAATAAAACCTGCTAACTGATGTGCGTTCAGGTCAGTTACTGTATAGTTCACAACTTTTGCAGGAAACTAATTTTTGTACTTTTAATTTAAAAAAATTAGTGTACATCCAACATGCGCTTTTTGTTGTATGGATTGTCCATTGGTTAGACACATTATAAAGCTAAGAATGATGAATGAGGAAAGGGGAAACAAGGCTTCCACAGATTTAAGGTCTTTACAGTATTCATCTGTTTTTAAGTGAAAGCTCATCGTACAAAACAAAACTGTAGAGAGAGTTTTCAGCTGCTAAACTGAATACATAGCAGGGAGTTGAGAAAGGATAAATACGGAGGCTATTCTTCACCTACAGTGAACTGCCTGTTAGAAGCTGTTCTTCCCTGTATGCAAGTGAATTCAAAGCAAAAACACCACCACACAAAAAAACCCCACACCCAAAAACCTCAAGTCTTCAGAGTTGTGCTTTTTTGGGTTCTTTATAGTTTCTCTTCTGCAAATATGATGGTATTTGAATTTCAGACAGTAAAAAGAAGGATTCATCATACAAAGTTTACAAAAGATATGTTACTTGTTTTGACAACTGAATAAGAAGGAATGGTGTGGCTGTGTGAGTGGAAGACAAGTGGAAGAGGCGATTTTGTGATTTCATGGACATGGTCAAATGTGTCATATGTCTGATAAATACTTTAACCTAAAAAATATACAGTGTTTTATTTCTATTTATACTTGCTACCTATTTCTCTTTTGTTGCAAATCTGATTTTTCTTTAATATTTATTTCTCTTAGTATAACCTTGAAAATGGAACCCAGACCTTTGATGATCTACCTGCTAGATTTGGCTACAGACTGCCAGCAGAAGGGCTGAAGGTAAAAAAAATAAATGAAAAATTACATATCTATCTTGAAGAGAGAGAGGAGATAGTATCTTCTGAACAGCTCTTCTGTAAGCTAAAAACAGATTAGGAGATTCCTCATTCCTAAGAAAATCTCCTAATTCCAGGAGATTCCTCTCCTAAAAAGAGAATTTTGTTATTCTGGTGTTTTGTATGTAAGGAAGAATTTGCTGAACATTTTAAATAAATAAATCAAAAGTAGCTGAATGGTGAGAATCTAAGAAAGTGAATTTGGTTTTCTCTGAAGTTGGTGGCAATACTGATACATGATGTCAGTTAATTGCACTGGTGTCAGTGGATGCCAGATTGATTTTGTCTGTCTGTCTGTTTGTTTGTTTTTTAAATACCTGGATGATTTATTGTCTCTGTGGGGTCATAGAGTGGCGAGCCCTTTCACACTATGAAATGTGGAAAGGCAAGAGGGATTCTCTTCCCTGCCTGTGGCCTGCATTGCGAGTGCTGCATAAAGGAACCACAGCTCATTTTCTTGGGGCCATTGTCACTTTTCTTCCCTTGTCGTGTTTCTTAAGCAGCTGAGTGGAGAAGCTGAAGGGCTGAATTCTGCCGTGGCCCCCCCCACATGCAGTGCTGCAGAGCCGGTGGCTGTGGAGCAGCTGATGAGTCGTCTGCCCTCTCCTCACAGTGTCTGTGCTGTTGCAATCCACACCCCACAGCACATGAGAAGTCCCCATTCTCCCAGTGCTTCTCTCAAGCATGAGTTGCACTAGGTTATTTTATTGCTATGCAGGTAGCACATATACACATTTTTGTTAGTTATCTGTTATATTGTCTTGTACACCAAATAAAATCCTATTGGGATAGGAATGCTGTGATGTGACTTGAAAACTGGACATAGGATTATTAACAGAAGGCACTAGTAAGTTGTGATACGTTCAGCTAGCAGAAGTACATGTGCCTTTTAATTTAAAAACCGAGTTGTTAATCCAGTTTTCTTTGATCTGCAAGAACTCAAAAGCATGTAAATATTATACCATATTAAATTGTAAAATGCAACTAGTATTAGAGAAGACAGAAGTAACGTGAAGATTTGCAAATGTTAATGGAAGTGGAAAGGGAGAAGTCATACTATACAAAGTAATTAACGAGCAAAAAATGTCAAAGATGGCTATAACCATGGAAATACCTATTGGACTTTATAATTATTTTGTGCTTGATTAGAAATTCTGAAGACCTAAAGTACAGCATCGAGCATGTTGTGTACAGCAGAAGAGCTCCTTTTCCCTGTATCAAGTGTGGTTAATACACTTGAAACATAGTAAGATGTGTACATGGACTGAATTAAACTAATAGAAGGGAAATTACACTCGAGGAGAAGTGAGAAAGGACTGGGAAGAAGCTTCCACAGGCAAGGAGCAGGCACGTCCTGCACTTCTGACTCCTGCTAAGGTCATAGCTGTCTGTATGTTCTGATGACAGTAGTGAATGTAAAGACAAACTCATGGTTCTGTGTGAGATAAGATAGAGGAAACAGAAAATAAATTATTTAAAAATAAATTATATGTTGTGATGTTAATGCTATAAACTGGTGTCATAGTCCTGCTGCTTAGAGAAGTATTTAAAAGCTGGATGGATATCCAATTCAGTGACAGTTCACATCCTCTGAGGTAAGTTGTGTACTGTGTTGAGTTCCAGAGCAAGGGGGCTGCTGCATTTGTCTTTGCCTGACATGCGGTGCCCATGCAGTGACATGAACTGTTTACTTTCTCTAGGATCATGTTCTTGCAGTCAGTCTCAGTAAGTTCATTTCAGATAAAATTTGTTTCCCATTCTTCTGTACCTGAAACACAAGTGTACAAGAAAGGTGATTTAGTTTAGCTGTCCAGTCTATTACTTGTGTGATATTCAGGTTTCATTTCTTTACTTATTTTTTTTATTGTGGAAGTGGCTACATGGAATCAGTCCTGTGGCAGTAACTTGTTTGTCTGGCTATCACTTTGAACATTGTATGTGTTTATGACTGAGATGTATGTTTTGTTTTGTGTAAGAATTCCAAGACCTAAACGTACTTAGGCAGCCCAGGTTCCAGTGAAGGGGAGTTGCTCCCATTTACGCACCTATGGGACCATCAGTAGCCTGTGAGGGCTGGGTGCTTTCCTGTCCATTCTGCCTGTGATCTGCATGGCCCAAGATGGAGCTCAGCAGCGTTGTTAATGTTGCAGTGCTTGTGAGACAGCAACACCCAAGAAAGTGAAGCTGATGTGAAGGTGCAGGGTTGGATCACTCTGATTGCACGGTGTCCTTTGAATCCCAAGGGGGTAGGAATTCCATTGCTGTAGAAATTCCTGTAGCTCTTAAGAATTCCTCTGCAAGGAAACCGCAAGAACACTTTGTTTCCATGCCCAGTGGGTTTTATCATGGGGAGAAGTGGTGTTAGAGCTGTATAGCTGTTTACTGACTATATTGAGAAACAGAGGGCGATTAAGTGATTTGCCCAAGTCGTGAGCCAATTTAATACTTCAAAAATAGATGTAAGGAGCTTTGATTCTAACCTTTTTAACTGTAAGACAGTTCTGTGTCTTAAACTAAGGTAGTTGTCATCACCTGTGTAGAAATAATGAGTTTTAGTTGCAAATACAATTTTTTTTGTTGCATTAGTGTTATAATTATTTTTTAATTGCTATGATATTGCTTGAAATAGCGTGAAAATGTTACACTTTTGCAATGTTTATGAAGATGTATTAATATGCAACTTAAAAACACAATCTGTCAGATTCTATCATAACTGGTGCCAAAGTGGAGAAGTAGGTGCTTTTTGTGGACTGTGTGTTCTAGGCAGAAAGTGGTCAGTCATTTGTGCCTGTGTGCCTAAAGGAACAGCTCCTCAGTTAAAGATATTTCAGAACACAGCATTAAGAAAAATCCATTCTAGTGGTATTTAGCTGTTGATTTCTACGTGTGCGTTTCTTGAACTGCCATAAGACGTTGTGTGATTTGTGTGAAGCTGCTCTGTAGGATGCAGTTAGTTCACTCTTGTTAAAAAGGAATAAATGCTCTGTGTGACCCTACGTAACAGCAGTAGTGTTTGCTCTGTGGGTCAGGAGACCTTGGGGACCTACATTTGGCTGTTAGCAAACTTTCAGTGGATATTGCTTTTAATTGTTAGAGACTGTGGTGGTGTGCCTGTCACCACAAACGAGAAACAGAGCAGATTGCTTTTGCAGCCCCTCTGCCAAAAGGGATATTATCATTACCAAAATCTATTCCTCAAAGCAAGATTGCTTCTCTCAGTTGTAGCTTAAACTTTATCAATAATACATATTTATGGATAAAATGTAAGATTGTATATAAAAAGTACGTTTAAACTGACGTTTTATATATAAAAACTGTATGTGTAAACTTAGATATATTTTATGCATTTAAACTGATGGCTTATATATAATTATATAATTTATAATTATTTCTATACAGGTGATGATATAAAGGTGTCAGTGCAAACTGAGTTTCAAGCTCTGAAGGATATCTCTAGAACTGTACAGTAATTTCTTGAGCGCACAGGAGTGCAGCTTCTAATGAACTTTATTTGCATCAAACAAGTTACTTATATTCTTATTTTCTGGCAAATCACTGCTCTTTATCTGCATGATAATTTGTTCTAGCTTTAAAATTGATGTGAACAGTTGGGAATCTTGTAAGGGTGTTCTTATTTCAAATGGTACTCGGTTGCATTAGCATCCAGAAGCCAGCATCGCACTGTGACCAAATTGCACAAACACCTTACAGAGATGATAATGTGTCTGGAGAGGTGCTTCAAATGGAGGGCACACAAAAAACCTTCTCCAAGTGCACGGGTTGGATTTTTCTGTATCCTGGCGGTCAAAATCTGTTGTGAAGAGACTGGAGAAGGGAATCTAATGAATATCAATCTAATGAGTAAAGAAGCTCCTTCTCAGGTGATCTAGAGGTTTGACCAGGGAAGCAAGCGTGTTCTAGTGAAGGACAAGGGAAGGTCTGCTCTCTGTAGAGCTGCAGCATCCGTGTTGTGCAGTACGCATGATGATCTTCCAGCATTTGTCTTGGATAAACTCCCGCATCGACGATGGTTGCAGAGCATTTGCAGTGGAGGGGAGAAGGGGTCAAGACTGATATTGCCAGAATTTCCTACTTCTGAATCTTTCCGCTGTAGCAGATTTGATGATCCATAGTCTTTGCGTACCACAGTAAACCAGCTGTTTTGTATGCTGGTTCAATGTTGATTTTACACATCTAACTTTCTTAGTATTTTTTTTTTCTCTTGACTGTCGAGTATCAAGTTTGTGTTAGTGCTTCTTAGGCTATTATGCTTCAGTTTTCTTACTCCATGTATCTTAGATTAATAGTTCTACAATATGAATGTAGCATATGCAGTCCTCTTTATGCTGAATTACACTGCAAAGTCTGCGTTATGAACTTCAGATGATGTCATTTGAAAAACTGTGAAAAATAAGAAAATATAGACCAAGATTCTGGTGGATTCAAATAGTCAGGGATGTAGCAGAAATCTTGCTATACTATAGAACTGAGATGATAATAAGAATTTGTTGAGCTATTTTATGAAAATGTACAGTTTTATTTCCTTGTCTGTCAGCCCTTTTGTTAAGACAAAGAGAACTGAAGCTCCTGTTTCTGTTCCTGTTTTCTAGGGTTTCCTAATAAATTCGAAACCAGAGAATGCATGTGAGCCTATAGCCCCGCCTCCACTGAGAGACAACTCCTCCGGTGCTTTTATCGTGTTAATTCGAAGGCTTGAGTGCAACTTCGATATCAAGGTAAGATTTACCCCCCCCCTTGCCTCTCTGTTTCAAGATCTTAAAGAATTTACTGGTACTTCAGAAAAATATCTATAGCTAACAACAGGATAGACACTGATGTGAAGGGAAGGGAGAATTTTACCATCTACAGGCAGATAAAGCAGTATTGTAATGTGATTTAGTTTAATATTACCTGTTTGTGAGCCAGCTTATGTGGCAAATAAAGATGACAGATGCTGCAGTTTGGTCACAGGAAGCATTCAGTAGCAGTATCAGTTTTTCGTGCCAGTTAGATTCTTTGGTGCCAGGGATCACAGAGGAGGTTAGAGGATGGAAATAACATAAAAGCACCCAAAATCTACAAGCCACTTTCCTGATCTGTTTCTGGTTTTAATGGCTGGATCATCTCGTGTCTCACACGGAGATCCCTTGAATAGTGGTGGTGTCACAGTGGGTTGATGGGGAGAGGAGACGTGGAAGTGCTGGGCAGGAGCAGGCACATGTGGCAGGATGGGAATGTTTCTGATGGGTGGAGCAGCCAGATGTTATATTATGAAGTATTTATAGTATAAAAAATTCAAACTGCAGCTGAAGTGCAATATTCTCCGTTATTTTAAAAATACAGAAGTAGAATTACTTGTGCTTGGCTGAAATACACAGTTTTCTTGAAAATTACCCTGATATGTGGGGTAGCAAAGGATGTCTTAAGGAAGACAGGGCTTTTCAGTCTGTTGTTGACCTTCAGGAAGATCCAACTGTATCTGCTGCTATGTAGTGTGTTCAGTTATTTGGTGTTGTGATTAAACATGTAAATTCTGCCCAGCTGTAGAGGCAGCCTCACTGCTCATGCGATCCACCGTCACATCAAACTCAGAATGTCTCCTGCTTTGCACCTTGAGTCCTGTCACTGTGTGTGTATGTGACTTAGTGGGCAAAGGAAGGGCAGATGACTACTTGTCTTTTTCACATCCCCATTGCCTATCTAATGGCCGCCCCTAAATTGATGGGACAGCATTACTGCTGAAGACACTGTTAAAGGAACAGGTCAGAATTTTTCTAGGGGAATACGTTTTTAATCAGAAATACAGCAAATGTTTGTTCGCTGAAAAAAGCTTGTTTTGCTGAAGAAATTTGTGTTATGACTGAGCCTCCAACTTTTTTGCTCTGGTGCTAAACCAGGAAAATCACATCTCTGTTGCTGCTCACAGAATTCGGAGAAGCTTTGGAAAGCTGCTCAGCTAATGGCAAGAGTCAGGCAGGGGCAGGTGTGCAGAACTGCTTTTCCCCATAGTTGTCAACTTAGTAAATGTGAACTCTTGTTTTGATTTTACACGTCTTGCTTTGCCACATGAGTGGCAATGAGTGTTTCTTGTAGAAAACAGAAGACTTGTACATTATCATTGAGGGATTCCCATGGTCAGTTCCTCAAGGGTTAAATCACACTAGCTGTGTATGTATGCATTTTTTGGTTCTGTTTTATATTTTATGTAATATCCATGGAAAAGTGGATTCCCACACATTTCTTTCTTAGACAAAGAGCAAGGTAGAAAGTGGATCAGAAGTTCCAAGGCGAGCATGGGGATCTGTGTACTCTCTGGCCAGTGAATTCACTTTCATATTACGTTGTTAATACGATTGCAATATTGCACTATGTAATTTCATATGCACTGCAGCATTTTGCCCTGAAGTTTCTGCCAGGAAGCAGCATGCACACTAAGATGTGAGTTATATTACCTATCAGCTCTTTGACTGACAGGATGTAGATTTTAACAGAAACTGGAGTTTAAAGTCCCATCCCTCCTGTTTTACAATGAAAACTACAAATACAGGTGCATAGCTGTTCCTTGGTTTTATTGTACATGAATCTTTACTAGGCCAGGAACTGTCTCCTCTTCCCTTCTATCTCTTAGCATCTAGTGATTTCTTAGAGGAAAAGTGACAGTGCAGTAGAAGGATAAAGGCTGGAAGCAAGTGGAAGCAATTTAGAGCCTTTTGGAATGCAGCTTCTCACTTGTCATAACCGATTTTTACTGCTCTTGTGCTGGTGACCAGCATGGGGAGGGACTTGTCAAGAGAGGGTGGTGCTGTGCTTTCAGCTCCTGTGTAATTTACAAAGCGGCTTTCTCAAGCCTGCATTAGAGGTCTGGTCAGCAGTGACTGAATTATGTTGTTGACATCATGTAGGAAGCATCATGGATTTTCTACCTAAATAAAAGGTTGGTTTTGCAAAATAAACATAATTTTGCTGTGTATGGAAAAACTTAACTAGAATGGTCTGGGATTATATGTAACTTAAGTAAATGATACTTTGCTACGTTAAACCTGCCTCTTTAGGCACAAAAGCCAGCAAATACATTACTAAACACTACGTCATTTTATGTATGCACTGTGGATATTTTCTGTAGTGATGTGATGTTGACCAAACTCACAACTACACATTTATGTTTACATCTAAACCTGATTTTTTTAATATTGGGCTTTCTCAAGGTGTCTGCCTTTTCCAGTAGCATTGTTCTGCTGTTTGGAGTATAGTTGTTAGGAAAATGGGGAGAGAATCCGAATTGATGGCACGTTGAGTCATGTAGCAACAAAGAGCTGGTTGTCATTTTCATAGAGGAGAAAGTTACCATGCCATCAGCAGTTGCTCCCTGAAGCTGTGCCATCCTGTTTAAGTGTATCTTCAAAACAAGTAAATGCTTCCGTTTTGGTGCACAGTTAACGTTTTGTCTCTGGGGCCCTGGGCAGCGAGGGTGAAATTGCAAAACAGGCGATGCTGCTGCTCCGTACAGCTCCGGTGTGGTTAGACCTCAGCTTGCTCGTGGGGGCTGGGGCAGGAGGTGCCTGGCTGATAATGTTACTCTACTCGAGTAACTCTGTGTCAACTGAGTATTTGTGTGGTTTTATGCAAACACCATAATTTTTTAATCCAATAATTAAACAAAGGCCATATGTTATAAGCGGTGAAAGTGTGAAGGGAACTAAAACATTTCCTTAAGTAACAGAAATTATTTACTACCTGTCCTGAAGGACGTATTTCAGTGCATAACAGACAGTTAATGAACACCTATTCAGCACATGATATTAAAGAAATAAAACAAGCAAACAAAAAATTAAAACCACATAGAAACTGTTGCTAATTACCACAGTACATTTACATGGATATGAAGATTAAGAACCTATGATAACCAGGGAGCTTTCAAGCTCTGATCACTCAATGAACTTGTGTTCCTCTCTTCTGTTTCAGCACTTGGTGATTTGTTATGTGTGTGATCAGTGAGGACCCCATTGCTGCTGTTCTCTGTCACAACCTCAGATGCGTAGATGTTCAATGCTTTTAATCCTTGTTTTATTTTTGACTTTTATTTAAAATTCTCATGCTTTTTTTGGTCTGTTTTTGCTGTTGTGTGGCATCCAAGAAAGTTTCGTATTTCAAGCTAGACCTAAAGAACCTTTTTTACAATAATTAGTGGAAGTTTTCCAGCTTTACAACTCGTGTTCCTTATTACTGTTTGTCGAGAGGAGGAATTGGGGACGGGGGGACGGGGGGGTGTGTGTGTGTGTATACATATACATGGCTACTGCTGTAAAAGACAACAAAAATGTTTCTATAAATACATGAGTAACAAAGGGAGGGCTGAGGAGAATATCGATCTGTGACTGGATGTGGGGGAAGTAGAGTGACAGGGGATGAGGACAAGGCTGAGGTGCTGTCGGCATTTGTTCCCTTGCCCCATGGCTCCTCCCGACCTGGGACTGCAGCAAATGCCAATTACATGGATCTTATGCTTTGCTTGTACTGACAGAACCCCCAGTACGTATCAGAAACGTAGCTGGTGTACAGTATAGTTGTAGTTTTGTACCCATATTTTTAATTTTATACTTTTCCGTGAGATTGCTTCTGGTACTTGGCCTGTCAAGTAAGATATTTCCACATCTCTAAAGGCACAGGAAAAAATACTGCTGGTGTGATTTCATGAGCTATCAAGTGGTAATTTCTAGTTTACCAAAGTAAATTAGTGCCTTTATTTTCAATTATGATTAAATACTACTTTTATCTACCCATATAAAGTTTTAAATCCTGTTTTTAATATATGTAAAAGCTGTCTGCCTGCAGACAATATTGAATGATTTTTCTGGAAAAATAGCATAATTACTTGAGTGCAAGAATAATCATATTTTTTTTGAAAGGTGACCATTCTTTTGTAAGTGCAGATGAAGTTGTGCGAATACTTACAGCTTCCTGGAAGCGTGCCTTGTCTTAGGACAGACAGGTTGCTGCAGTCTTTCTAATAAGTACTTGATCTGACTTACAGGTTTTAAACGCACAGAGAGCTGGATACAAGGCAGCCATCGTTCACAATGTGGATTCTGACGACCTCATAAGCATGGGATCCAACGACAGTAAGTACAGGTATCACTTCTCCTCTCCTGTTTGAAAATCACTTCACCCGCTGGAGTGTGCAGTATTAACATCACTAGGCAGTATTGTGATGAACTCTCACTTCAAACAAACAAAACCAAAAAAAGCCCCTGAAACTACAATGGCAAAAACCAGAAGAAATCCACCCAATCAGAAACCTTCCTGCTTTTAACATTTTAAAATGAAAGATGTTTATATAAGAACATATATGTATACTTGTGTATTATTTGTGTCATTGAGTTTGTACTTTCTCCGAGTGCTGCTTTTGTTTTTCCTTTAAATTTTAATTCAACTGTTCTGGGTTAAATGGTTAAGTTTGTGAGAGCGATTTATATGACTGATGTGGAAAATAGCTGATGTGTTGTTAATTAAGTAGAAATACTGGAAAAGTAAAAACTCTCTTGGAAGGGAATCAAACTTTAAAATATGACTTTTTAGTATTTCTTAGTGGATCCGTTTTGTTGTTGTACTGTTTTGTACATTTTTCTTTTCCTTTGGGCAAATGGATTCTGATTTCATGTGAATACATATTACATGTACGTATTTTCAGGTTTTGGGTTGGAAAAGGTCTGCTTAGAGACCAGTGCGCCATTTTCCGATTGGTTCTGATGCCAGCTGTTCCAGTTTTAACCTCTGGAGTTACTGTTCAGAACATCTTGTCGTGTAGTCAGAATGTTGCTTTTGGTTTATAGTATGTAGGGTTTTGTCTGTAGGGTTGTTACAACTTTCTTTGTGGCATCTCTTTATTTTGTCCAGGTTTTGAGCTTGCTCAGTGTAGAACAAGATTATAGATAAGAACAAGAGTTTTTTCCCACATGAAAGCACTATTGAGTAAACTAGGAAATGATCTTTCAGCAAACTAACTGGCAGCTGAGTAGCCCAGGAAGCTGTGTGAAAGTGCTTTTAATGAATTCCCAATCCGAGTCAGTCTTATAGTCAGGTTTTACTGAGAAATCAAAATGTAGACCAAGCTCATGACAAACGCAGCCTCGGGTAATGAGAGGCGGGATTGAGTCATGTGTGCTTGTGCCTTGCAGAACCTGAGTGCTCTGATAGTGACTAAAGCCAAGATACTGGGATCCTTAAATGGGAAGCTTAAGTCAGAGGTGCTAATCAATATAAAGTGAAGCCAGGGAGAAGGCTTTCTAGAAAATGGAATTTCTCTTTCAGTAATCTTTCATTTGATCTGCCTCTTTTGAGCTTATTATTGCCTTCACTTCAAACATTCCATTAAAAATTCTGATTTCTGTACCTGCAACAAAGTCCCTAGGTATTCAGTAGGAAAAATAATACCAATTCTTGTATGACGTAAAGATGTAGCATGTGTGTGCATCAGTCTGTATGTCATTACGTTAAAATGTCTCGTTGTGATAGTCTCATAATTTTCAAGTCTTGTGTCTTAAAAGTGCCCATAGAGTGTCCACATAATAATAGATTTATTTTCCTACTCTTTATAACAGTTGAGATTTTAAAGAAGATTGACATTCCTTCTGTCTTTATCGGTGAGACATCAGCTAATTCTCTTAAAGAAGAATTTACTTATGAAAAGGGGTAAGTTAGCAGCTGTTATTCCTTGCATGAAGTCATTGCCTCTTTTTAGTATTTATGGTTTTAAAACAGGATGTTGTGATGACGGAGGCTATAGTATTCCAGGTGAGACTTTGTACCTGAGAGCAGTGGGCAGAAACCATTTAAAAAATTAATACAAATTGCTTTCCTGCAAGAGGGTTACCGTGCATTTATCAAATGTTACTCTTTTCATATAGCATTAAACACATGAGTTTACTAATGATGTGGGAATCACAGAAATGTTTGTGAGCCTGCGTACTTCAGATCTTAAGTGTGTTCTTTTTACAGTATGTATCAGTTCCCATTGAGGTCTGGTTCTGTCTTTAGAAAACAAACAGAAAACCCACCCAAAAAACCCCAAATAAAATCCTTTAATAGTTCTAAAACAAGTCAGAGAACTTCCTGTGCTAGGGGAATCTGAATGGACCCATCTAAGGTGATTCTGACCAGGTCTGCACTGCTGCTGGTCTGCTGTTAAGTTTAAAACTTTAAGAAGAAAGGCATCATGTTAACCTTTAACCAGATGTTTAAAGTGTATTCCTTGAATAGGGTGGAAAAGCAGGTGTCTTATTATTAGTCTGATGATCTTGCTTCTGCAGGCCTCTGATGTCCGTTCACTAAATTAATCAAAACAACTAGATTGTGTCATTCTTACATCAACACCTTGCTGATGAAACCACTTGATAATGAAGTGTGGCTCCACATGAGTGGTGGCTGTAGAACTGCTAACACTGTTGGACGCGGTACCTTCCTGGGCGTTTTACTGCGTGTGCCAACAGAACAATAATGGGATTTTACTTCCTGAAGTATCGGTAAATACTTGTTTTCAGATATCCAGTTGCCAGCATCCATATCAGGCTCTATAGGAAGACTTCTGTTTAATGTACTGTGATTTATTGACTTTTCGGAAGACAAAGAGTGCGTTTTACCATGCTTCATGATTTGAAACTAAACCTCCCATACAACCCAAAATGCTTTAGGAAATAAGAATGATTTCACAGTATCTTTTGATAGTCATGTTATGTTTTTCTCATTCTGCTGACAAAGCAGCTATGAGGTTATTTTCCTGGTTACTTTAGATTTATTTATGATTGAAGTCAGTAAGTAGTTTTAACTCAAAAAATGCTCTAAGAAACATTGTTTTATCCTTTTATTTAATTGGTTTTACATTATGTGGATATCAGCTGAGTTTTCTATGTTACTGTGCACAGGTAGGTATTCCTTTAGTGTGTCTAGTGATAACCTTGACTCTTAATGGGGTTTTTACATTGTATTTTATTCCTTAGTTAATTGTTCATTAAATTCCAACCTCTTTAGAAAGCTTTATCTTTTTCTCCCCACAGTGGCCATGTTATGTTAATCCCAGAGTTCAGTCTTCCTTTGGAGTACTACTTAATCCCTTTCCTAATAATAGTAGGGATCTGTCTTATTCTCATCGTCATATTTATGGTAAGTTTCTTTTAATAACATGTTTTCTTTCAAACCAATCATCATAGAACTGCCACTTAGTGAAGATAAATGCAGAGGTACAGTAAAGGAACAGCGAAAGCTTTGTGTGTGGTACATACCTGTACCGTGCTTATCTGTAATCTGTTATTTTCTCAGTACGATGAACAGATGCAGACTTTTGGCAGAGATACCGGGAGCCCTTAGGATGAGCCCATCCAACCTGGCCTTGAACACATCCAGGAGGGGGCATCCACAGCTTCCCTGGGCAGCCTGTGCCAGGGCCCCACCGCCTGCATCCTAAAAACTCTCTTCGTTTTCTCCACTCTAAATATGCCATCTTGCATAGATACTGATTCTTTTAAGTTTGGCTGTTAAGAGCTGGGTCTTTTTATATCAGCATGGTGGTGCTCTCAATTAAAACAATTTTTTTTATTTAATTTGTGAATTTAAGAATTCCAGATTCCAAATAAAATATATAGGAAAGAACCATCTGTACAGTCCAAAAGGAATAAACAGATGCTAGGTAGCATTAGCTATGAGAAGAGGAAATAAGCATTTGGTGAGGAAAATTTCAGGCATTTAAACTCTTCTCTAATTTCCTTACTTATACTGTGTGAGCAAATGTAAGAAAGAGCATGTCTGTAACTGTTATCAAAGATTTATTTTTCCAGATATGTCCCAGTTATAAAAGCAAAGACTTTGAGAGACCTGAATTTCTCTTCCGTTAGTGTCAGTAGGTAGTCAATGCTAAAATGAATGGATCTTTCCGTGTCTTGGAATCATGTTAGAGAGAAAACCAAAGAAAACCACTTGTGTATTTTCAGTTTCAAGTGCCATGGTCATCAAGAACATCCTTTAGGCTTGTTTGGCTTTATCTTTGAGTTCAGGCAAGGGAAGAGGTGATGAAATTTGCGCTGGGGTTCCCTTTTGATTCATAAATAACATTTTCATTGTGCTTTTATTGTTTTAACTTACTGTTCATGTTGTCTTGCCTATGTCTGTTTCCAGATCACAAAATTCGTGCAAGACAGACACAGAGCAAGAAGGAATCGGCTTAGGAAGGATCAGCTTAAGAAACTTCCTGTACATAAGTTTAAGAAAGGCAAGTGTATCGTTCTTTGTCTTATTAGACACCATTCTTTTTAAAACTGTAAAACCTCTAAATTGAGAGGGTTTATAGTTTTGGAGATAATTTTGAGTACACTTGAAATGGATTAAGTAGAGTTTGGAGTGAAAGCACACAAAAAACTTGACTTCCCCCGTTCTCACTGACATCGAGAAGTTCTAACGTTGGTTTAAGGGAAGCAGAGCATACACCATGTGCAGACTGTAGCTGAGAGTTAAAATCTTGCTTAATATACCACAGAATCAATACAGAAATTCACACAACCTCCTTGGTGCGCTCCTGTTAGCAGCGACCACAGCAGGCAGTCACGGTGATGTATTAGTTCAGCTGTGTGGAGCTCCTGCTGGGAGCACTGTGTCCAGCTCTGGGGTCCTCAGCACAGAAGACATGGGGCTGTGGGAGGGGATCCAGGAGAGGGACACGGTGGTTCAGCCTGGAGGAGAGAGGGCTCCAGGGTGGCCTTAGAGTGGCCTCCCAGTGCTTAAAGGGGACTTATGAAAAATGGGGACAAACTTCATAGCAGGGGCAGTTGTGACAGGACAAGGGGTAATGGTTTTAAACTGAAAGAGGGGAGATTTCAGAGTAGAGACAAGAAATAATTTTTTTGCAGTGCGGGTGGTGCAGAGCTGGCATGGCTTTTGCAGAGCTGGTGGCTGTCCCCTTCCTGGAGATGTTCAGGGCCCGGTTGGACGGGGCTCTGAGCAGCCTGGGCTGGCTGAAGGAGTCCCTGCTCGCTGCAGGGGTGTTGGTTGCTTCCCACCCTAACTATTCTATGTTTGTATGATAATTTGTCTGCAAATTGATTAATACTAGTGGCACATAAGTCACCTGGTATTGTAAAAACAAAACTATCCTGTGGGTATGATTTATCTGCTCTTCCAGAGGAGTGGCCCTTTCATTTAATCACAATACTTCTGTGATGGCAAGAGTGATTCAAATTTAATGCCAAAATACTTGCTGTTGTCATTCTTTGTAGTAATTAATTTTATGCAACTTCTAATGACAAGATGAGAAATAAAGCTGTAGTAAGTTACTTTATTCGTTGAAATAGAAAAGCTGCCTTAAGTCCTCCTCTGTTGTAGTCTACTCCTTAAAAGTAGGAAAAAAAAGTTACTTCTCCATTTTGTTTTTTAAATGTGTTACATTCATACAAGCTATTGCAAGGTAGAAAAAGTGGTGGGGAAAAGTGCTTAATTCAAATGATTGATTAGCACGTAACACGTGTCCATGGAGAACGTGTTTGAGGCAGGAAGACTCAGCAGCAGAGCCCCTTGCTGTTCCTTGCCTGTGATGAAGCTGCGTTGTTAATGACTTTGCTCTCGCTTGTGCAAAGCAGATGTTCAGTCTGAGCAGATGCAGTATTTGTGTGATGCTGGTCAGCCTCCTAGGGAAAAAATAATAATAAAAAAGTGGTGTGCTCTGCAGGGTTGACCAAACCTTGCTATAATGACCTATTGCTATGGATCGGAGATTAACTACAAAATTTTCTTAAGCCTATAAAGCTAATATTAATTTTGTTTCCTCTTATTGATTCCCTATGAAATCTAATTAGAATAAAAATACTAAGCAAATTATGTTGTACTTTAAAGATAAATTTGTAGTGAAATACATGCTTCAAGAAAGTCACTTAATGCCCTTTTCAGTCAATCGTGTGCATCTGTAATAGTTGTCTCAGAGTTACATGACTAAGTAGCCAGTGTAGGAAAATACCTTATTGCTGTTTTCCTCATTCTCCTTCCTCTGTGCTTTTGCTGAATCTCGCACACTAGGAATTGTTTGGAGCTGTGTCAGTCGCCGTAAATACCCAGGTATCCACTGCATTCAGTGGCTTATTAAAAATGAACAAAAAGCTTATTTTTTTCAACGAGGATTTCAGGTTTTTTAAGTGAATGATCGCTTTGGTTCTACTGTGAGAAACAAATCCCTTACATTAGTTTAAGTCCTTCTACTAAAAGGAGAGAATTTGACCCGGTACTTGCAGTATGTTACTTTGGCAATTCAGTAGAATATCTTACATCATGCTTCTGTCCAAAAGAGAGAATTTCTCAAGACACTGTTGCAAAAATCCTTTCATTTTGGTGGTCTTGATGATATACCCAAACCACCTCACCTTTTCTTTGGGAGGCTTGGTGAAGGTAACACCTATGGACTGTAATCCTGTTCTTAGGAGTGCCAGATTTCCTTTTGTCTCCAGTGTACTCTTAAAAATCTTGTGTTGAAACAGATTGAAATGTTAGTCAGACACTGCAGAGAAGACACCGTAGGTACTGGTTCTTCTGTCTTGCACAGCTTTTTATATCACAGATCTCTGACTAATAAATGGTTTCACTGTGCTGTAAAAGGGATTTTAAGGTAAAGCTTTAATGGATTTCTAGAACTTAATAGGTAGGTAGGCAAACAATGAGGTAATGAAGATGATTGTACTCTGACATACCTGAACAGTTGTTAGCACGGAAAATACTTGAATCGTCTCTAAATAGGATTTGAGCCAAATACCACTGCACTGCGTGGGAATTCTTAAATTAATTTCGGTAGCTGTAGATTAGGCACGAGAATGCAGTCACAAAAGATGTGGCACTGACTCCTCGATCTCCTGACCAACAGCCTCACCTGTGAATAAATCCACCGAATGCCAGGGACGCTGTATCAACAATCTGTTTTCTGCGCTGGAAGAGTTTTGGGGCAGTTGTGTTGTGGTTCTGTACAAAATGGGTTGCGCTTTGATCACACTAAAGTCAGTGGGAGTTGGTGTCTTTTGTACCATGTCTTCATAAAAAAAGTGAACACAGCAAAAAAGAAATCCGTTTAATGTGCCTGTGATTTGATCATGACCAAATCTGAATATTCTGAAGAGTAATAGCTTAGAAAAAATAAAGATTAGAAGTTTTGTGAATTGGTATGTATTGTAGAATTTGTTTTTAGAAATGTGTAATATTATTTCTAAGCTGGCTTAACTTCACCGTAAAATGGAATCTAGGCCAAGTCTGAAAAGATCTTTAGATCTGAGCTGCAGTGGAGTTACAGTGTAAGCTCTAACTCCTGTAGAAAAGAAAATGTCATAAATTTACTGAAGATAGAAAAAAATATGCTTTGTTCATTTTTATTTTCTTAATAATATGTCCGTATCATCTCTTTTTTAGCATTCTATATTGAGTGTTGGAAGTTAGGATCCTAAATGAGTGGTTAGATTGCTGATAAAGAACCCAGAATCTGGGAGTTGCTACATCCACAGGACTTCTAAAAATGGAGCTGTTTGATTAGACATTTAAGTACAAAAGAAGAGTTTAACTTTAGGAAGTCAGCTTTGAAATGCTTTATGTTCACATGGAAAAAAGCCCCAACATATGTGATAAATAATAATCTGTGTCGTTTTAAGCAAATGCATATTTTTAAGTGCCGTGTGTATTGCATTTTTGTGTACACACCTTCACATGCAGACCGATACGTATGATTGAGTGATAGTGAGAAATGGATGTATCTCAGTGCGTTTTAAACGTCTGCTCCAGAGTAAGTGCAGTTCTGCAGTTTACTGTGTCCCTAAATCATTTGTTTCCGTGCGGATGGGATTATTACTGATCTGATTCTGGCTGCTGCTGACCCATCTGCCTGCGCTGTGCAGTCACGGTCTAAGGCAGAAACGGGTCGTAAGGTCTGCCAGAGCCTTGGCAGTTTGATGTTTGCGTTTTTCGCTGTTCATGGGCACACATGTAGTAACTCTAGGTAATGCTGTGTTTCTGAAAATACTTTTTCATTGATATGTGCCAGGTAGTTAGAAGATAATTTTGCTTTAGTAAAGACTTTTCATATACAGTTTATTTAAGCAAGATACTTTGTTTTGCAGCAGTTTCCATATTTTTATCCCCTGAGTTTTGGTGGTGCTGAGCCAGCTTCTAAAAGACCGTGATGGGTATTGAGAAAAGGATGCCTGCAAAGTGCCCCTTTGAAAACTGAACCTGCTGCTGTTTGAGGGGATGTGGCCATGGAGGGAGCCCAGCCTGGGCTCTGAGGTCAGCAGAGCAGGGCTGGCAGTCCTGGTCCTGGCCGCGATGAGAGCAGGCATCTGGGTAATGGCATAGATTAATCTGTGTGGTGGTGTGTTGGAGAACTGTGGTGATGGACTGCAGCTGTTTGAGAACTTGAGCAGTGGCCGTATTGAGTAAACTTCATCAGGATTTAGCTGGCCTGGACATGGGGGTGATGCTGTGCCACTGCCTTGTTTTTTCTGAATGTGCTGCTGTTCATTTGCCAGGGGTGTTGCAGTGAGGTGACCTTCTTCAGGACTGGCTTATGTATGTTGAATGGCTACTGGGGAAAAAGAGAGCTCTATTATTTGTGTGCTTTTTGTCTGGGATGTGATGGCCTTGATGGCACTGACTGATGGCTAACATTCATTTTCTGTGTTCAACATGGTAATAATGTGCTGGTTATACGTGACCCACAAGTATGGCTACCCCCAGGATACTGTGTGCTGTGTCTGGGGTTTCCCTCCTCTGGGCTAGGTGGGCCGTATTTTGGGTTTAACTTTTTTTTTTTTTAACCTGAGACACCATCACTGGTGCCTTTCCTTACCACAAGGTGTGTAACCAGGCTGCAGGCACCCAGGCACCACATGTTGAGCAGATGACTGCCCATATGCTAGGATGTACAAAGGCACACTGGATCATTTGACCAGACTGTCCAGTCTCTCAACCAAATGTGCGTTAGTCGAGTCGTAAGGAAGATTGCGGTGCAATCTTTTGAGGATACGGGTGGCCACATCACAGACTCCTGAACAGTACTTACTGCTTCTGGAAAGACTCATCTTGTTGCTTCCAATTGCTGCATTTTTCTTTTTCCCAGTTGTATCACATGAGGAGCACTGTAGTGGTCAACCAGAACGCTCTGTCTTATCTCAGTCATTTATAACTGATGAAATCTCAGCTAAAAAGTCCCAAGGATGCAATCCCTAAATGGATGCACTTGCATGTTACAGTACTGGATTTCATTCATGTACCATCTGTGCCAAATGTACAGGTTTTTTTCTGTGCTGTTCCAGTTACCCTCTTGATGCTGCTTACCTAATCATGTCTCGTGTGTGTGCAATTGATATGCTCCTTGGTTTGTATCAGTACTTACTGTTCCAAAGCAGTTTTGTAACAAGACAATACCGGTACCTCTCCTCCAGCCTAACAAACTTCTTCCAGCACCAACAGTAGCAGCTTCCATGTGTTCAGCTCCTCTGCTCTTCCTCGCTGCTCTTACTGACGAGGAGCAGCCATCTCACACACAAACCTCACTGAATGTTATAGCTAATGCACATACAATGTGCCGTATTCCTTGTTTCTGTGTGCATCTGTTTGGAAAGGTCCGTTGCAAATCTTTTGAACTGATTTTCAATTATGTGCCGTAGGAGATGAGTACGATGTGTGTGCCATTTGTCTGGATGAATATGAGGATGGAGACAAGCTCAGAATCCTTCCGTGCTCTCACGGTGAGCAGCAGTATTTTAGGTTTGATATTGTATTAAAACAGCTCTCTAAAACACTGTGTCTAAAAATAACAGTGAATATGTTTATTGATTGATATATAAGATTTATTTCTGCTAATATGCAGGAGTGTATGTACAAATTGGGAAATGAGCAAACTTTTGTCCTCTTCAAAAGCAAAAAAAGGTTGGCATTCCCACTTTGCATTTGAATTTGGAGGTACACATGAAAGAAAATCAGAGCTTGACGCTTTCCCCTAAATGTCTGTATTTAACAGGGAAACGCATTCTAGAGTTACTCTTTACATTTAAAAAAATAGGCTTTCACTTTCTCCAAGACAATTAAGCCATGAAACGTAATTCAGCTATTAATGCCATAGAGATACAGATGAAGGGCTGTAGTCTGTCCTGTATCCCAAAGCTGTGCAGACCACTGCCTTGTCTGCACTTGGAAGTCAGCATTAGTGGAATATTGTTCCTGTGACGAGCTGCGTGCTGTCTGAACAGTCTTCTCAGCCACAGCCCACTGCAGAGGGGGATCTGTCCGCAGGACAAGACTGCTTTTGACTGCGTGCAGGTACAAGAAGTATTTTGAGAGCTGATACCTGGAAATCTGGAAGAGGCTTGGGCCCAAGAGCATCTCTAAGCTTTAACATTTTTTTGATAGAAGCTGTGTAAAATCTATCAAGAAAGACAGGATTAATCCTTCCCAGCTTGAGACCTTCTCTCTGGCTCCCAGTCCATTCACCGTATGTCAGCCAAAATGGCTGTAATACAGCTTTACCTTGCTTTTTGCCATTAAATTCCAGCACTGCCACAGCAAGTACCACATCACTGAGATTTTAAAAAGAGGCAACTGATGTTACAGCTTTGCATCCACGATGATGATGGACTGAGCTTTGCAGATCGTCATTCATAAAAAAACTATTTCAAAACAGGCTGGCAAACAGGGAGAGAAGGAACAGATCCACACCATCTGTCCCAGCTAGGGACTGCAATGTTAATTAAACCTGATCACCAGTATCAAACATTGCTGACCAAAAAAACCCAAACCCCAGAACTGTTCCTGTGGACAGTGCACTGCTAACGTGCTTGAACAGATAATGGACACAGCGTGCTTGCTCTTGTAGTACCTAGCTCTTTGCCAGGTAGGGGTCTCTGTTAATAAGCAGAGCTAATAAGACACTTGCAAACACTTTTTTCTATTTTTTACGAGGCCAGTGTGGTTGCAGTGCCAACTGTGGGCCTACTTTAAAATCGACAAAATCCTGCAGTAGTTTTATTTAATAACAAAGTGCTTTGATAGAATCTTGGTGCAGGTTAGAGGCATTGTGAGGATAATGATGGTGAGCACGCCTGCTGCAAGGTGGCTAGAATTCCTCAGGAAGCTTTTAAAGTTTATTTTGTCAAGCACAGCCCGTTGCAGGACTGCTCTCCGATTCATTCAGTAGAGGAATTGGGTATTTATTGCATATATCCATATGTCCGAGATACTGATCTATTAGGCATTTTGTACATAAGGATAGACACTCTACATGCCTGCAAACTTGTAACTAAAATTCTCTGTGTGTTCTGAAGTTCTCCTGTGTTGCTAAACATAAATACAATTTAGCAAGCGTCCTTGTCACTTAGATAATGATGAACTTGTATTTCGTTTTCTAACAGCATATCACTGCAAGTGTGTAGACCCGTGGCTGACAAAAACCAAGAAGACGTGTCCTGTCTGTAAGCAAAAAGTGGTTCCTTCCCAGGGGGACTCTGACTCAGAAACAGACAGCAGCCAGGAGGAGAACGAGGTGTCTGAAAACACCCCCTTGCTCAGGCCGCTGGCCTCGGTCAGCACACAGTCATTTGGGGCTCTGTCCGAGTCCCACTCCCACCAGAACATGACCGAGTCCTCAGAGTACGAGGAGGACGACAATGACAACATCGACAGCAGTGATGCCGAAAACGGAGTCACTGAAGAAAGCGTGGTGGTTCAGCTGCAGCCCAGCGACGAACGGGAGTACCGGGTGGCAAACACTGTGTGAGACTACTAATAATGAGTAGCGTATGAACAAAAGAGTTCTTGAGGCTATACTTTACACACCTTTACGTAGGGAATATATTTTAATCTGTAATCCATTTGGTTTCTTCAATAGGAGCAGCAGTTCATGTAGTAGCACTATGGTTAAGTCATTACCGATAGATTTATTTTTGATTCGGGTATTCAGTCACACGTTCTGTCTTCTCAAAATGAACAGTTTAACTGGACTTCACAATGCTAATAAATAATAGTTTATATCAATAGAAGTATCTCACAGACTCTAAATGTGTCTTGTTGAAATGGGATTTATCTGGAAGTAAGTCTTTTCCATTTTGTAGCTACAACTGGGTCATACCAATAGCAATATTTATTACGTGTATGGTATGTGTTACCCCTTGAACCCAACAAAAAATGTATTTGCATGTTTGTATAGAGTTTTCCTAAAAACTGTCACCACTACTGAAAGAAAAATGTAGAACAGATCACTATTCTATATGCTGGTTTATCAGAACAAAGCAGAAGATATTCCACTTTTATCTCCAAGCCGTGATTCCAGATAATCCTTTGGAGTTTGCCACAGTAGCTGAGTTTTAAGCAGTTCCATTGAGCAATTCCTAGGATAAGGAAACCTAGAATATATGTTTAGTTTTGAGGAGTTCACTGGGTAAGAGCCACCATAAAATATCATTAGTTATCCTTACTACTGCGGCGCAGTCTGGTCCAGTGATGATGTGGGAGTTGAGGGGAGGGAGTGTCTGACCGAAACAGAGATGGTTTTGTCCACATAGAAGAATAGTTTTAGGTAAGTACTATTGATCCTCAACTCGTATACCTCTTACTAAAGAGCATTTTATGCTGCATTAGTCTGCTAGCAAACTGTGTATATAGAAAAAATTGTTCTTTTCAATACCTGATTTGAAAACAAGTGCTTATAACTCTTTAACAGAAGTCAGTACTTACCAGTATATCATGAAAAAATGTAACTATGTAGAAAGTAAACACGTAACATATAATCAAACTGCAGAGATTTTTTTATATGGCCTTGAATAAGGAAAGCTTGAAAGAATGTTAATAAACATGTTTTCCACTTTAAGTATCAAAACGAATTTATTGAACTCTTGCATTCCTCACATCCCTTGTGTACTCTTACGTTATTACCGAGGTTGACATAATTTTGAAGATCCAGATCCCGCAGTGAATGCTGGCCTGTGCTCACATGCAGTGCTGTGTGGATCAATGCTGCATGCAGTAGGACTGAGTTACATGGAAAACTCTTGAGTTTTGGCTCACCTGTAGTTGGAGGAGAGGTTTGGAGCAGCCTGGGTCTGTCCCTGCGGTTCGTATGGGGGGGGGGACAGGACCAGAGCGCTGTTGGTGTTGGCCTCTGCAGCCTGCGGGTGCCAAAAGGCCAAGCCCTGGGCTGAGACACCCCAGGTGAGGGCTCTGCAGATGTTATCTGTGATCTCCTTGCCCAAACCCAGCCGTGGAGATCAGTGTCACCCCTCTGGGACTGGCAAAGAGGAGAGAGAGCTCATTTTCGAAATGAGGTGTGGTAGAAGGACCGTAATGGAGGAATGATGCACCTTCAAACCAGTGCCACCAGCAGCCCGTGGTTAGTGACAGACTGTGCTGTGGTGTCGCCATGTGATGCTCCACTGCACCTCACGTGTGATGCTAAGTCCTACTGTGAAAACTGATTTCTGAAAACTTACTAGGCTGGAGGGTGTTTTGTAAAAAATGTTCCTGCTGTTCCTGTGTGCTATGTGTGTGTATTCCTATTTCAGGCACCCCAAAACCTGAAAAGATCCAGAACCATGAACAGAAGTAAACTTTATAACATATGCTGTATGTAACTCTGGTTGTAGTATCTGCTGCAATGACAGAAGTAAAATTACACTCTTTTTATCAGTTTCTCACTTGCTGTTCTCTACACAGTGCAGAGAAAACGCATGCGGCAGAGGATATTCTGCTTTCATGCCAAATATAATGTACATGTAATTGTTCCATTTTCTGAATTTCCTAATGGTATGAATAAGTAATTGTAACTGGTGTCTGAGGTTAGAGGTGTTTCATGGGTCCTTTGAAGCAGACGATCTCTGTAAAATGGCACAGTATGAGCTGCAGTTACCACCAGCAGTTTGTGACCGGGTTTGTTGTGCACAGGACTCCTGACAGCACGGGCTGCGCCCAGCCCTTCACTGCACAACAGAACAAACTGCCCAGGGAGCCGCACACAGGAACCAGCGCCTGCCCAAGGAGGGGAGGTGAGAAAGTGATGGGTCTGAGCAGTAATACTGGGAACCTGCATGCAAAATAATGTCATGAATATTAAACATTGGATAAAGTCTAGAAATGCAATTCTGTTAGCAGTTTGGAATAGTTCGGTATTCCCTCTACTGAATTCTAAGTGTTCGTTGTAGAAGTAGGAGCCTCTGAAAGGCAAAGTAATAGTGGCTGGTATAATTAAATCTGTCTGAGAATTACTACGGTGCAGAAAATAAGCACACTAAGAATTAACTTTGTGAGTGTGTTTCAGAGAAGGTGAGGGACTGATGGGAATGGCCTGGAAAGTCAGCGTTTAAAACTTGTAAAGCCCCGATATCACCTCGTCACCTTCCAGTGTGCGCTACCCATTGAAGAGGCACAGGTAACGAGGTGAAGTACACCTTCAGAAAGGGGAGCAGTGGGGTCAATAGTGAATTACCTTCCTGAGCTGGGAGAGGGACTGAACAACTGGAGAAATGCCCTTGAAGAAACACCCTTGGAAGCAATTCTGCTTCTGCACTGCTCTTGGTTTGCACATCTCTCCTCCTCATGCTTTAAAAAAGCACTAATGTAAGTTGTAAGTTTAATGTCAGCTCTGTCCTTTTATCCAAGCCTTGGATAAGAACATAGGCTACAGAAGGGGAAAAAGGGGAGGAGGGGAGGGTGGTGGTGGGTGCTTGGCTTCTGTATGGCTGGGAAGTGCTGAAACAAGAGAAGTCTCGACACTGGTGAGGCCTGTGAGCAGGGGAGTGCTTTTCTGTGAATCCTCAGGTGCTAAACCCACAGTAGGCAAGCTGGGGAGGCTGAAGCAAGGGTGCTGAGGACGGCTGTGTGCCAGTGATGTGTCTGGAACCATGGCGACTTCCATGGGCTAGCGAAGACCAGCAAGGAACAAGGTTTAAATGAGGAATGGGATGACCGCTCCTTGGTGTGCCCTGCTCCTGGCTGTTCCTGAGGTGCCCTTACTGTGAGCCACCCAGCTTCAGGGGCAGATAGGCATGTGCGTGCCCTCAGCCAAAAAAAGAAAAACAAAAAATCCTGCACTAAGAATGCAAGTGCAATTTTATGTTGGGTTTAGATGAAGTTTAGGTACAGAGCAAAACAGACTTGTGCACTAACATAGTTTTATGGGAGAAGTGAGAGATTTGCATCCTCTGCACTGATTACTACTGAACATAAACTTGCTCAGGACTTGTTCTTGTCTGTTCAACCGCCAGCACCGAGAACTGGGAAGGCCCCAGCACTGGAAGGTGCAGCTCAGACATGAGACACCTCAAGTAGTAGGGGGAGATAAATGCTTTGCATATGCAGGTTTTGGGGAGGGGGAGCTGGTGCCAAGCAAAGGAGCAGGAGCAGGGGAGCGGGGCAGAGCAGAGGGGTTTCATGGCAGTGTCCAAGCAGCCTGGGCTGGTGCTGGCAGGATGAGAACAGCAGACCCGTGGCCAGGACTGACCTCCTCTGCTCCAGGCTTCCCTTCCCTGCCATCATGTCTCACCCGTGCTGGGCAGGAGGCACCTGTCTGCAGGGCCCCTGTTCTCAGAGTACGAGGGTAACAGCAGCACCAAATCCAGGCTGATGTATTTTTTGGTAACAGAGCCCTTCAATCCCTCCCTCCTGCTGGAGGAGAGCAGGTTCTTGCCGTAAGGAAGAGATGATGTGGCAAAGCTCTCCTCTAGCTTGTGTCAGGGACTGCATGTTGGGTATTCACAGGGCGGGGGAAGCCCCTACCATGCAGTTGGACAAATGTGGAGCTACACAAGAAACTGTCTCCTAATTTAAGGTGATCGACCCCAAAGGCTGCCTGGCCTTTGACTGAAGTTACAGTCTCACACTGGTGCTGTCTTACACAACTGTGCTTGTATCTACCATTGGTGTAGTCAGCCATGCAATGGAGGAGGGCCTCAGAGCATTCCGGGGGGGGGGGGGCAAAAATTACCAACAGTCTGATTGTGTTTGGTTGGAATAAATTTATTTCATCTGTCTGTAAACAAGGTGTTTTTAATAGTTATGGCATTTTTTGAAATGCATATTAAATCAGATGAGTTAGACTGTATCCCAGATGTAACAAAGTGCAGGGAAAGAAATGGACAAATCAGCAACAAGAATTTGTTTAAATCTGTACATTATCCACAAGGCCCAACAATAGAAGCAAATACTAGAATGTCCCTAAAGTAGTGCCGTTCGAAAGAAACCCTTGTAGTCAGTTAAAATCCATCTCACAATAGCAACAGTTCATTTTTTTTTTAAACAATAGTATGGCACAGAATACATATTAAAAAATTCATCACAAGACAGCCAAGTCAGTTATTCCAACCACTACCATCTCCCATTTATTGGTTTGTATACAGAGTTCTGCAGTTCTCGCTAAATGGACACAGGCGCCGGTGCCATGCCTGCACTGAGCGCTCGGGTACAGACATTTCGGGTGACTGGTGCACGGGGCAGCTCACTCCATGATTTCTGCAGCAGGGGTGTGACAGGCCAAAGGGCGAGTGTCAATTTGAAATGGCATCATTTGACAGTTCAGCTTTCAAACTGCCCACCTTCACCAAACGGCAGCTGCAGAGCTCTTTACCAGAAAGCGATCCGGCAGAAGGACCGGAGTCAGCCAGAGCTCCCGCTGTAGCTGAAGGTGGCAGTTTTCCATAATGACATTGCAGTTTCGTATTAAAAAACAAAAAGGGAAACCCCCCACGACCCCCAAGCTGCAAATTAAAATTGGTCCTATGAAAAACTGAAACCAGACACACTCCAGATGGTTATGCTGGGGTATCTACTGTCTGCAATGGCAGCCTTTACAGTTCAACTACAGAACAGGAGCTGGCAAAAAAAAAGTGCCTGAGCTATTGCAAGGATAGAATGTCCGGGGCTGCGGGACGGCCGTGAGGGCATGGGAGGAAGTGCATCTGTACCCTTTCCTAGTTTTGTGATTGCACTCGTTATACACTACAAGCTCCAGACATCATGAAGGAAAAATAAAAACCTCAAGCCTACAGCGAAGTGCAACGACAGAACTAACGTAATGTTAATAGCTTCCGAGTGGCAAATCGATTAAACAAACCAGGCACTATAAAAATGGGTGTACGCAAACAAATGTGGATTTAAAAAAACCGAGAGGGACAGAAGTAAAGATATGCATGCACTTTTTCCTCCCAACCATGCTCTATGAAAGGAAGACTAGCGAGCCGTGTCACTGCTCAAAGTGCTGAAGAGGCATTGATCAAATTAGATTGTACAATCGGCACCTTGTTTAGTGTTTAAGTTGTTTTAGTTGTCAATATCACACTAATTGCTAAGACAAAGCAAAGCCTACGCTTGGCATACGCCCCTCCCGAGAGTTTTTCAAGGTATCATGCATATCGTCGTGGTGGTGCAGTGATGGTGCCAGATACGGGACTTGGTTACATACAGTGGTTAACATATAAATGAACACAGGGTGACTGAATTATGACATTAGGAAATGGGTAAATAAAAAACACCAACTACCATCTACAGGCTGGTAGCACTGAACACAAGTGGGTGGTGGTGAAGAGTCGCTAGGTGGATGGGGAGAGGCTGCTCAGACGTCAGACCTCCTCAGGTATAAAGCCAGTTCATATGCTTTCTTGTTGAGTGTCCCTCCATGGACACCTTCCTTTCCCATGACTATAACCAATGCTGGAGTACACAAGGAAACAAAACAGAAATGAACAGAATTAAAGAAAAAAAAAAAAAACACCTTTCCCCACCAACAAAGGGATACAAAGGAGACACAGGTTCATACCCCATCACCCTGCATTGCTAATAAAGTTTCCAGAATGTAAGGTTTAAAGCTCACCGCCAGGAAAGTTTAATAGCAATCTTCCCCTAATACTTAACAGTCTGCCTAGCAACTAGAACCCAGAGTCTCTCAAGTATTTTGCCATTGAGTATGCCTTCTTATTCAATCCGCCTCCATGGACCCCTTCTTTGCCCATTACAAAGACCAAGACTGAAAGAGAAAAGAAAAAAAGTTTTTAAAAGAGTGTGTTAGACAAGGAAACAATGCAAGTTTTAGGCAGTGCAATAAACACACTCAAACTCAAGATCTGGTATTTGCATACTGAGCTAGTTGACCAGGAGTTTTGTAAAAATACAGACGTGGGGCTGGGAGAAGGCACGAGTTATCCTCAGGGATGTTGTACAAGTTCACTGCTGAGGAAAACGTCACCAACTATCTCAAAAAAGCATCACAGTGCCTCTGCAGCCCAGCACCACTGTCATCGCCCAGCCAGGAAACCCTGGCTGCGTCTTAAAAAAAACGGGGATAAGAGAAGTGTCAGGGACAAAAGCAGTAGCGTACGAGCAAGAACTGTGACTGAAGAGGGAATATCCTTACATTCTCATCTGCGGTGGTCACTCCTGGAGTAACAACCAGAGTAATTGGCCTGACACAGGCAGAAAGCCCATGGGGTCAGACCCGGGCCAGGGCTTTTCATGCAGTGACACAACTGTAAAACATGGGGGTTTGCACAGGACAAAATGCAGGGAAGGTTTTAACGTTGATCCCCTCTGATCCCACTGTTTGCTCCTGGCCCCGGTGCCACTTGCAAGCTGCCAGCAGATGTCCCCAGCCGGTGCGGTGTCACCCGCTGCCACCAGCGCAGGGAACGGGACGCGCTGCAGCCAGCCTACCCACAGGTGACGCACCCACAGCCACGGTTGGCATTTCAGCGCCTGCAGCGGCCCCAGCCCTGCCTGCCTCCCTGCAGCGCTGGGACGCTCGCCTGTACCTCTGCCGCCCGGCTGCAGCCTACGGACAAATCGTGCTCGGGTTTGGTTTTTATACTATAACCAAGTCTGTTCCTCACCAATTTGTTCTACAGCCGGCCAAAAACCACAAGGCCAAATATTCTGAACATAAGGCATACTACTTGTAGCTGGTATTTTGAGGTACGCTTTTTATATCCAAACCTAGTGCCCTCCCCATAATATATTTAATTAGAAGTTAAACGAGGGGCACGAGGAGTAGCGTACTAGCATAAAGCAAGTTTCTCAATGATAACCAAATTGGATGGGCTTTTTTGCCTGAAGACAGACTTCACAGAGCTCAACAGAAGTGCAAGAAGTTAGTGTAGAACTTGTTAAAAGGCAAGCGGGAGTAGCCCACACAAGGTATTCACATCTTTGCAGAATAAGCTTCCTGTTGAGAAGTTTACAGTGAAAAAGCTAGTTCCACCACCAATCATTAATAGATGCCCATCGCAAGCTTCAGGCACCAAGTTACCATACACTTGGTGAGCTTACTGCCACCCATAGGCTGCTCCTTCCTGTGTGTCAGAGACCTATTGAACCATTTCACTGTGGGGAACAGGGACCAGCGTGGCTGTGAGGCAGGAATCTCAGCCAGCCAGACCACTGCTGCCCACCCCTTACGTCACTTCCTGACATTAACCATTACATTCAGGAGTTTGCTTTTCTTAACAGCCGGGGTCTATGCTTGGCGATCAGTGATCTGAAAGTGACAAGAACGGTGCTTACCTCGGCCAGCTCTGCCTACAGCAACGTTGTATGTCGGCTCACCACCTTGACTCTTTGTCCTGATGTCCATTGTGCAGTCACCATCGACATACAGGCTATCTCTGATCACAGAGCACTTCTTCGCACCAAGGGTCAGACCATTGGTGAAGAAACCCTCTCGGTCTTTTCCTACAATCATATCTATTTCTACTGGCTGTCAAAGAAAAAAAGTCCACAGTCAGCACGGCAGTATTTTATTGCTTAATTTCTATCTAGAAAGCATCCTATCTTGTGCTGAGGGGATTAGGCAGCAGTTTTCCCCGTGCTCCCACCAGGAAGTGCTCCAGAACAGAGGGCTTTGTTAGCCGCAGCTTGTGCTGCACCGGTTTACTGCTGCTGCCGTGGAGCACCCCACAGCCGCAGCACCCCGCAGGACTGGGGGAGGGAGGTGCCCACGGCCGGCGCTGGTCGAGCACCGAAATTTGTGCGCCCAGTGGCTGAGCGTGCCCGGTTCGGCG